GGGGAGGAAAGGAAAAGGGGAGGAAAGGAAAAGGGGAGGAAAGGAAAGGAAAGAAGGGGAAGGGAAGGAAGAGAGGAGGAAAGGAAGGGAAAGGAGGAGGGGAGGGAAGGAAAGGAAAAGTGGAGGGAAGAAGGAAGGGAAGAAAAAGGTGAGGAAAGAAAAGGTGGAGGGAAGGGAAAGGAAGAGGGAAGGAAAAGGGAAGAGAGAAAAGAGGAATGTGGGAAGGGAAAGGGATGCAAACTGAAGGAACACAGAACACAGCATAAAAGAGTTGGAAGGGACCATGGAGGTCATCTAGTGCAACCCCCTGCCCAAGCAGGAGAATCTATACCACTTCAGACAAACGCCTGTCCAGTCTCTTCCTTCTTGGGGGAGGAAAGGAAAGGAAAAGGGAGGGAAAGGATACCGGAAGAGAAAGGGGCGGGGGGGGGAGGGGAAGCGGCGTGGGCTCACCTTTCAATCATGTGCTCCAGGTTGGTCAGCTTCGCTTCCCCAGTCAGCACAATCACCACGGCGTAGGAGCTGAGGGTCCGGTGGATGAAGCCGCGCAGGTGCAGGTAGCGGAGGGCATCGCTCACCTGGATCAGCAGGTGCACAATCGTTTCCATGTGCAGCACCGGGAACTCGGAGCGCTGGAGGGAGCGGCCGATGGGAAGGGGCGAGAAGGAGGAAGGGAAAAAGAAAAGAAACGTTGCCTACGAGAGTTTGAATCCCCCCTAAAAGTCCAGGGGAGGTGGGCTGTGCAGAAATATTGCAAGTGCACAGGTAAATTAATATAAAATGTTTGTTTTTTTTTTAAAAAAAACACCATTTTTGTAATATTCATATAATTTTGGATATTGCAAGCCCGTCATGGTGAACCTATGGCCCGTGTGCCACAAGCGGCACGCAGAGCCATTTGGGCCGGCACATGAACTGCAGGCAAACTTACCTCACTGCGCATGTGCGCGCCTTACAGCTGATTTTCGGCAGGTTTGAGGCTTTTTCAGCCTCCCGGAGGAAGGCTTCTGCAGGCCGAAAACTAACCCCGTTTTGTTACGTCCTGTTTCTTTCCGAAAATACCGGAAGTGGCGAAACGGGCCTAGTTTTCGGCCTGCAAAGCCTGCAGAAGCCTTCCTCAAGCCTCTGGGAGGCCGAAAAAGGCCTCAAACCCGCCCAAAAATCAGCTGTGAGGCACAGTGCAGGTAAGGGGGCATCGGGGGTGGGTGGGTATTGCGCGTGCATGCATAGGGGCATGGGTGGGGCAGACATTGCCTTCTGGGTGCTGGCACGTGAGCGTCAGCATGCAAGCGCACGCAGAGTTTTTGGCACAGGAGCCCAAAAAGGTTAGCCACCACTGTTGTAAGCTGTCCCAGCGGTACCCTGTGGTAAGGTGCATGGATAATAACTTTAAAGAATAACAACAATAGTAATTGGGCCTGGCTAGTCTAAGAAAGAGAAGGACCAGGGGTGACATGATAGCAGTCTTCCAATATTTGAGGGGCTGCCCCAGA